AATACTAATTGAATACTCCATGGAAAAAAAGGAGAAGATACAATAGTAAGTAGAAATCGAATATTGTTCAACATTTTTATAACTTTGATTGCATGAAACCATAAAATTGTTTTGGGTCAGGATAGTTCAATGACATAAATGTATAGATGGTTGCAGGCATTAAACTTCATTTAACAATGAAAAGATTGTGTATTAGTTATTAAGTTACCGTTATAACTTTTTTTATTCTGTTACGAATAAGTGTATGATGAGAACTAGGTGCTCTAAATATATTTTTAGAAACTTTTTATAAGTGTATATTTTGTTTACGTTCTTCAGACCCTTTAAAATCCCACAAGTTTTCTTTATAATTGGGTTATTATTATTAGTAATTATTACGTTAGGAATTTTAAATTAGATTTTTTGGAGAATTCTAAAGAAGCTTCTGTTAAAGCTTGTAGGTTTTAATAATGCTTTTCATCTCAGTTAATTTTTGTTAAAGGATGCGTGAAAAGGGATAAAATAGAATTTAAATCAATTGTTCTTATAATTGTATTGAAAATCACATAAAAGAAGATAATTATTAGAAATTTAATTTTTTTCTATAAAAATTACCATATTTGAACACGATTTAACCGCACCCAACCGACCGCACCCCGAAATTTTGCCCAAAAATTGGGAAAAATAAATTATAGCTCGTAATAGCCGCACCCAAATCTGAAATTCTGTATTGTGATTGGTAACGGGGAAGATATTTATATTCTTGTTTAATGATCTTGATGAAACATGGAATTTAATTTTTTCGCCCTTTTGATACGCTCTGTTATAGATTATTTAATCACACTAAGTTCGAAACTTTGGCCGAAATTAAATTTAGCAATTTCTAGATTGAATAAATGCAAAATTAATCTATGAAGCGTGGCCTTAATTGTAAGGTTGATTTACCTTTGTCTGCCGGATATCGTATTATTCTAAAATACAAAATAAGAAGGAAGAAAAACAAATAGTGATGTTTTAGCAAAGTTTATAAAATTACCGCCATCGATATTAAATTATAAATTTTCATTCTTTCAATGTACAAATGACAGATTTTTAATTTTCTTTTCTCAGATTAATTTAAAATCTAATTTTTGATATCCAGAGATTAAACTGAGCATTTATCTATACAATTAATTGATTGTCACCCGAGAGAGACAGATTTGTTCTTTTGTTTTAATTAATAAGTTCTTCAAAGATAATATTTAAAAACATTATTAATGAATCTAAAGCATCGTTAATAATTTTACGGAGTTCCTTACTAAAATAAAAAAAAATAAACAGTGGAACGTTATGAATTTTGTATCATGTTGATTTTTACATTAAATAACTCATTAATCACGTTTTTCTCTAGTTTTTCTTTAAAACTTTTGGGAAAATTAATACAAATATTATAGGCATTTTTCAACATAAACGAGCCAATGTTAATATTAACATTAACAAACCATATTCATCCACTGTGCACAGTATTAACACATAACCACAGTGATACAGTTTATCACTGCGGTTATAAGTTACAACTCTCAAAGAGAGTTATAAGTTGTATTGCTAAGATTGAGACACGAAATCCAGGAAACATTTCGGTTAAAAAAAAACAAACATTTATTGGCTCGATGGAGGCTTGTTTTAGCGTTGAAGATAAGCATTTTTATTTTTTAATTATTTTAAAATTAAACAGCAAATGTTGTGAATGTATTATACTAATTTATAAAGTTGAAAAAATGGTACGCTTTTCAGTAGCATCCAATAGAATGTGTACACATCTATTCATTCTGGACGGAAAGAGTTACATTGTTATTAAACGTTTGATTTTCGAAATTTTTACGGAAATGGCAGTTACATCCTCTGAAAATATGATTGTATATGGTCACTGCAGTGAGGAAGCATTCATTTGTTATTTAAACAAATGAATATCCTTTCCTTTTTCCTTTGATTTTTCCTTTCAATTTTGGCATTCTCGAATGGAATTCTTTAATATAATTAAATTAAAAAAATTTACGTCTTATTAGAATGCCTTTTTTGTTAATGTTGATAATGATCTAATTATAAACTTTATTTCGGGATATATTTTATAATTTTTAATGAAATTTGTTTTTATATTTAAAGGTTTAATTAAGCGCTTAAGAAAATTCCTGATCAATTTATGGTTGAGACCTTTTAACGTTGGGATATAGTAAAGCCCTCACTATCTCCACTCTAGTTGTTGTCCTCTGTTGGCACAATTCCCGAGAATAACGTCGTCTAACAGTTAAAAAAATATATGAAAATAGTGTGATTAAAAGTTTGTCCATAACAAATCACCGCAATGAAGGCTGCGCCTCTCGTTTAACATTTATTAGACGGTTAGTCGAATCAGCTATTTCTACGTCTGAGCTGCAACCAATTTACAACCCACCGTTTCGCTAATTAACTGTAATTAATTATCCGTTTCTCTTGTAATTATTTTTCAGTTGGCACATTAGCAAAGTTTACGTTCGATGCCCCAATTAAGACGGTTTTTAACGTTTCTCTACTTGATTTTTCTCGGCGTGAACGGCTTTTCTAAATACCAGAATGGCAATTGATGTTGTTAAACCCCAAGGTTTTCGATTGCCATCGGAATTAAACATGTTAAAGAGCTCGTTTTGCCTGTAATTGTAGACCCATTTCAATTAGTTTCCATAGTGTTAAGATTGAAAGATAGGATTTTGTTGAAATTGAAAGTAACAAACGTAGAAGAATTTAGAGAATGAAACTTTTACGATATATTTCATCCTTTGGTACTTTTGTAAGGGACATTCTGGAAATGTTCCAAGTTGATATCATTCTATGTGAACATGGTTGAGTTGACGTTTGTGTGACTCACGTAGAACCATCCGAGGAAAGAGATTTAATTGGACATCGAACGGATGGACGGAAGAATAGTCGTAAACTTTATGAACATCGCGGTTGGTGCAATTGTTATTATGCTGTTGGAGGACTACCGTCTTTCTGGTCACAAAAGTTCATCTCTAAATAATTCAATGTACTATTTCGAACGGGGCCAATGCTCATTGTTTTATTATTACTTTATGACGTAAATTTGACGGAAATGGTAAATCGCCCTCATCGGTTTTATTATAGGAAATTCTTTAAAGGAAATTATTTGTTTTGTACGGATTGAATATTTGAGCCGTGTTAAGTGTTGAAAGAATTACATGGCAAGGGCAGTTACGCCTGTTTGTTGTTCAATGCTTTACCTTTTGCATTCTAAATTTAGCATCTTACCTAAGAGATTTTTATTAGAACTTTAAGGGATATAACTATTAAATTTCTGTCAATAGATGAAGCTGAAAGCAATTTTTTTATCCCTTTATTTTGTCTAACATTTAAAATGAAATGCACAAATGGAGAATATTTTATTAAAAATATTTATAAATAAATAAATAAAGTCAGTATTGGAAAATTTTAATATTAATTTTTTTATACCTTTGCGTTATCTATTTTTGTTTTTTGCTTTTGTTTTTAAATTTAATGTAAGTAGACTATAGATTAAAATATATTCTAAATTATAAAAGCGAATATTTTTATTAAACTTTTTAAAATATTTTACAAAAAAAGGAAACTACTCCTTACTGATACAAATCATTTTATGCTTAAAATTTACGTTTTTATTTTATACTTTGTATGCGAACAAAATAGAAAGTGTTTATACAAAACAATAGAAAATAGTCCTCGAATTTATGAAATAGTTTTTTTATTTTTGAAAGTCTAGAAAGCTATTTTCACTTGACAAATACGACAAAGGGATTGCGACATTAACAGTGAGAAAGTCGTTGGGATAAATTTAGTCAAAATTACAAATAGAAATTTAATAGTTTGGATGTTATTTGGAAAGAAAATTGTCTCATAATGCGTCACTAGCTTATGAATAATTTTTTTTCTCTGCTTTGTTTCGACACTTTGTCTCTGTCCATTCGAATGCTTCCTAACTTTATTAATGGAGAACTTTGATTAATTCACCTGGTTCTTCCCAGAGGACAAAAGCAATCGAACACAGTTGATGACCTAACCAACCCACAATACGTAAGATTCAAGAGGATAAAATGAATGGAGGGATTTCTTTTATCCATCTCTATACTGTTATGGGTTCACTGACTTCTATGCCAAACTAATGATATATATTAAAGTTGACAGCTCACCCCATTAAAAACGTTTATGAAAGAAATACGCCAATTGGTTAGCCCTCTAGATGTTTAGATAATTATTATACTGATTTTTAACGAATTAATGAAGACTTTATTTACTCCAATGATTCCGTCAGGTATAATTTCCTACACTGAATAGATGCAAATAGAATAAATTGCTTATCCGAAACAGTTCTTTAGTTTATTCTTTTATTGTGTTTTGTATGCCTGGGGCTTTTTTATTTTATCTCCGACTTTCATTAGTTCTGTTTATTATCACTTCATTGGCGTCTTTTCAGTGCTAATGCTAGTTCCTTATCAAACTTCCTATTTAAAAGCAACTACTGATGTAGAATTAATAGTAATGAGCATTTTTCATTTTCCAAGTTGTTTTTAATTTTCCTCCTCCTCCTCCTCTTCTCAATTTGCATGCATTTTTTTTTAATTTTTTTTAAAAATAACAGTTTAGAATTTTTTTCTTTATTTTATTTATAACATTTGTCTTTAATAATTTATAAATTTTGTGCACGAATTAAATAGAATTTTATTTAAAATAATGAAAAATTCAATCGAAAGTAGGATATTTGTTTGAATTAACAAATTAAATTTTCGAATAAAATAAAATTTTCAAGTTTCGTTTTATTATATTTTCGCTTTAATTAATCATTTCCTGCCATCCAATTGGAAATTCTCTGATGCAAGCTTGGATGAAGTAAGACTTAAATTTAATTCTTGAGAAAGGGTTTCAAAAATTGTCAGATAAAACTGCATTGTTTTTCTGTTTTAGTTTTCTTTTTATTTGTTTTCTTTTTCATCTCGTTTCTTTTTGTATTTGCGAAGGTCATGAAAAGAAGATTGTGATTGAAGACGTGTTTCGTGTCTCCTCTCAACTAGTTTATCAGTGTTTCAATCTGAAAAAGGTTTAGTGAAAGAATTGTTGTCGTCTCCATTTCTTCTGAGGACTTTGAAGTTAGAACCATTCACTCTTTCCTCTGTTATAGCAGGATGTAACCATAAAGGTATTTCCTACAATACGTGTCCTCCGACATTATTGGCGCAAAGCTAACATTTTGTTTATTGGGATTTTCTTACAGAAAAAACTTTTGTTTTTGTATTTTTCAATAGTTTAACATATTATTATGAAAAACCTTCTCGCTTCTATTTTAAATATTTGATTTAAAAACTTCTTTTCTTTACTTTAATTTTATATTTTATTACACACGCTATTATTTTATTATGCTGTAATAATAATGGCATTAACACTTTTAGATTCAAGTTAGTTATTTATTTACAAGGCGCAGCTTTCAAATATTGTATGAAATAATAATAATTATTAATCAGTCAACCCTCACAATTTGTTAATGCTTTCAGTTAAACTACTGAATCGATCAATACAAATATATATGTATATATTTATAATCGTTCTGACCTTGTATCTTTATTACACATTTTTGCTTGAAGTGATATAGAATTTTATATCACTTCAATCAAAATATAATTTATAGTCTGAGCGAAACATATGCGATAACAAAAAAAATGATTGCATTCTGAAGAGAGTTTGGATATAACATCTATTATTAATATTACTACTGAACTTTTTTGTCACATATTTTTGCTATTCATAACATATTTCAGCAATTTCTCTTAAACTTATTGAAAGAAAGCAATTAGCGCAACAAATATGTATTTGTTGTTCTAGTCAGTTTGTTTTGATTGAAGTGATATACAATTCTGTATCATTTCAATCAAAAATGTATAAAGATACGATGTCACAGCAATTTATTAATTTTTTTTCAGCTTCTTACAACGTTGTATTTAATGTTTGACTACGAATAAATAAGTGTATACATAATTCATTTGTTAGATATGAGTTGTAGAATTAAAAATCACAAAATAAAGATCAGTAACGATGTCATTACCGATGAATTAAGGTTTATTTGTAATCGGAATATCGCTTAATTGCCAAGGGAATTAATTTGAAGTTATTTACGATCTTTTTCAAACATCATAATAATTTCTAATTTACATTTCTTTGATAAACAGTAAATATTTCCTACGAAGATTTATGGTTTAAAATATTTAATAAAGTTGTTTCATTTAGTTGATTAAACATTTAAAACTAATGTAAATTAAGCATAAGTATCACAGCAAGATATACCCTGAGAATTTCAGTCGATAAATTGGAAGAATTTTAGATTAAATAATTTTATCTTAATTACAAATATTATTTCAAATTCTTATTTAAAATCTTAAAATCGTTCAAATTATGTATTAAATAATTGGATTAAAATAGAATTTTTTTAATCTTATAAAATAAGATAAACCTGGAAGATTTTAGTTGTGATTCTACGTTAGAGTGCTGATAGAACAATACAAATATATTAAAATCTAATTAAATATTTAATTTTTTAAAATGTTAATTACAAAATAAAACATGTATATGAATGATTTTATTGCTAATTCCATGTTAAATCAATGATTTCTGCAAATTCAAAATTCTTTTAATAATTATCTTTAATATAATAATGACTTTTAGAATTTAAATATTTATTTTTTAAAATTAAATAGAAACTTGTATTGATTTACTCATATTAATATGTAAATATAAGTTTCTTAAATCATCAGTTTGGTTGTAAAATATTAAAATTTCATTGCCTTAATAATAATAATAATAATAATAATTCATAAACTTTTAAGATTTAATGATAATTAATTCATATGACCACTTAATAGATCAATATATAAAGATTTTATAGAAGGAATAATCTAAATGCTAAGTTATTTTTTCAGTTTAACACTCCTAGTAATTTTAGATTTTAAAAGGATTTTCTCCTCTCAGTGTTTGTGGGCAATTTAGCGAAAACGTATTTAACTTCTACTCAAATTTCAATCGTCAATTAACGCTTAGTAACGTCTCGGGGTTTATTTTCCTACAGGGAAAGTTCTTTAGCCAATTGTGTTGTTTATCTCTCTTCTCTCAACTTCTGTCTTATGAACACGGAACTTGCCTTCTGGGATTATAAATGGATTGTTTTGTTTTCCGGATTGCATCCATTTAGTTTTTTCCTAGAAATGGAAGTTTATTTTCAGAATAGTGCTGGCGAAAAATTGGTCCCTCCAGGTTTACTTTCGAAAGTCGTTTGTTAGCTTCAAACCAATTCTTTCTTATATGTTGCTCAAACAATCGTCTTCGATGTTACTGCTAGGTGACAAGTTTAAACAAACTTTTTTTTTTCCTTGTAAAATTTTCCAGGTAGCTATAAAGTTTCTATTTAAAAGCACCATGAAATAAAATATAAATGACTTTTTGAATTTTCATTATGGTTTGTAAATAATTTAGTTACGTTAAATTGTAGCGGTATTTCTTTTATTATTAAGATTTCGTTCATCTATATGCAAACATTAAAACAAGATTAGAAGTAGATCCTTCTTACAATAAAAATTCTTTAGCGTATGAAAGAAGGATCGCTGCGATATGACATGAATTAACGAGGTTGTGAACTCCTAGCTGTAACAACAAATCAAATTTTTTCCCCCTCCATTCTCGTTTCTATTTCCTGGTTATTCGAAGTAGCGGGATTTTAAATGCTTAATCAATCGAATTAAATTGTTTTGACACACCAAATAGGTTCGATAACCGAATTGTTTTTCTTAATTTGACGTTAACGATGACTTAAACTTTTGAAAATACAGTATAATTTCAATTTTGAGAATGAATTTTCATTCCTGTCACTAAGTTTTTTTTTTTTTTTCATTCTCGATATAATATGCATCGAAGGACCATGATAACTAAACAACGTTTTATTTTATATCATTTTAATCAGTCTTATTGAAATTGATGTATAAATTATGCATACACATTTTAGTTATTTGGGTGTGTGTGTGTATATATATATAGTACTATAAAAATAAATTGTGGCTAATTTTATATACTAGACATTTGCAAATAAATTACTTCGTAAATAGAGTAAAACAAACTTATAAATAACTTATAATTTTGTTTATTATTTTATATAATGTAGAATTTGACTAAATGAACTTTTGTATTTTGACTACACAAAGAAATGGTATGCATGACCTACTTTTTGAGGTTTTAGTAACTTAATTTATAGATCCATTAATTTCATCTATATAATAGCCAAACGTGCATGCAAAACGAAGTAGCTTATAGATGTTTTGGAAGGGGGGAAAAATACAATATAAAATTATATTTTAAAATATAAACATTGACTGATAATTTGTATACATTTACATTATTTATTATTATTATATAATAAATTATGTAAATGACAGTTATATAAATTATGAGTCATTACGAGATCCAAATTCTGTTCAATGCTAGCTGATGCCGAGAATAAAATATAAACAAAGATTGCGGTAAGAACCTATACAAAGTGAGTTTGTTAGAAACTTTTTTATAATTACATATAATATAAGATCAAATATTTAAGTTATTTCTAGTTACAGTAAAAAAGAGAAAGGAAGAAATTATAAACGCTTTTCGTTAATTAAAGTAATAGTGATTATTTTAAGAACTAAGGTTTAAATGAAAAAATCAAGTGTTATTTACATTTTTTAACATTAATCAAATCATTTATTTATCGTAATAGAGATTTCACTTCTGTTACAGGGGAATACATTGTTTTTAATTCTGTAAATTTGATGATAATACAAATTGAAAAGATTTATATTTTCTTACCATTAAACTAAATAAGCATAACATTTTTACTTTCCCGGCTGTTAAATATAACAGAGGGAAAGTATAGCTATCAGTCAAAAAAATGATTTTCTCCCAAAGGTTTTTACATTATTGGATTCAGGGAATCTTGAAATGGGGGGAATTGGGGATTTTTCCCTATATGTTGGATGTGTTTGTGGGCATGATTTTGTTCATCCACTTTGAAGCTTAATAACTCCTGTGCCTTTTATCGAAAATGTCTGAAATTTTGCAGTGAGGTTTATCTGTTAGGGGCATTTGTGCTGTTAAATTTTAGTGGTTAAAGGTCGAGGAAGTGAGGAGATAGAGGGGATCGTGTTATATGTCCTGGGGTCGGACTTAATGAAGATTTTTACTCGTTATTAGTATTTTCTTCTTTTTAAAAAAAATAAAACTCATGTCTACTCTTAAAATTAAGTTTTTTTGCCGTTTTATAATAATTAATAATATGAAATTTTATTTNATTCATATGACCACTTAATAGATCAATATATAAAGATTTTATAGAAGGAATAATCTAAATGCTAAGTTATTTTTTCAGTTTAACACTCCTAGTAATTTTAGATTTTAAAAGGATTTTCTCCTCTCAGTGTTTGTGGGCAATTTAGCGAAAACGTATTTAACTTCTACTCAAATTTCAATCGTCAATTAACGCTTAGTAACGTCTCGGGGTTTATTTTCCTACAGGGAAAGTTCTTTAGCCAATTGTGTTGTTTATCTCTCTTCTCTCAACTTCTGTCTTATGAACACGGAACTTGCCTTCTGGGATTATAGATGGATTGTTTTGTTTTCCGGATTGCATCCATTTAGTTTTTTCCTAGAAATGGAAGTTTATTTTCAGAATAGTGCTGGCGAAAAATTGGTCCCTCCAGGTTTACTTTCGAAAGTCGTTTGTTAGCTTCAAACCAATTCTTTCTTATATGTTGCTCAAACAATCGTCTTCGATGTTACTGCTAGGTGACAAGTTTAAACAAACTTTTTTTTTTCCTTGTAAAATTTTCCAGGTAGCTATAAAGTTTCTATTTAAAAGCACCATGAAATAAAATATAAATGACTTTTTGAATTTTCATTATGGTTTGTAAATAATTTAGTTACGTTAAATTGTAGCGGTATTTCTTTTATTATTAAGATTTCGTTCATCTATATGCAAACATTAAAACAAGATTAGAAGTAGATCCTTCTTACAATAAAAATTCTTTAGCGTATGAAAGAAGGATCGCTGCGATATGACATGAATTAACGAGGTTGTGAACTCCTAGCTGTAACAACAAATCAAATTTTTTCCCCCTCCATTCTCGTTTC